TTACCAACCAATCATCATCGTCCATAAAATACAGCAGTTATTGCATACTTCGTATGCAATAACTATATAATATTTTCATAGGCTATTATTCTTCTATTACAAGTTTTAATTATTTGAAATCAATAAGAAAATCTTTATTTTACCAGCCAACTATCTCAACACGACATATCATTTACGATGCGAAAGCAGAATTCTTGCTACAACTTCACGTTACTAAGAATGATCGAAAGCTTGAAAGGATGTATCTTCCACGTAATGTCAAAGGTATTCAATAGTGATTAAATATTCGAATGTTATTAAAAAATAAGCATTTACAAAAAGAAATTGTATTTACTGTACATTATAATGATATTATTAAATTATATAATAAATAAAGTTCGGGTTTCTTGTTCATTAAGTTGTTTTATAATCTAAATTCATTTAAGTCCATTTAATTCCGAACATAATGTATGTATGTTTTATATATATATCAAGAATAATCACAATCAATATCAATGCTGAATGAATGATTCTTCGCTTTCTCAAGGGAGATATACATGATCAGGATGAATTTTTACTTCTATTAAACATGGAAAATTTTAAACGCATTCCTCATTTTCTAATAACAGAGAACCAATATAAGAAAGGTGATTTGATGAATTTTAATACAATTTTGATCGATTCATCAGGATAACTGAAATTTTGTCTCAAATTAATGTCAGGTTTTAAATATTTGATACATATGTGCGTACAGTGGAAAAAGAATTGACATGTTACACGAGCCCTTAAGACTTTGAATAAATTAATAATAATGGTCACACCATTTAGCATCTTAATTAAACACACAAGAGGTAAATACCGATTCTTTTTTGATGATCTTTTCCCGTTCTATATTAAGTAATTATTTCTCATTATAAATTTCATAACTAGCAGATGTTAATTTGCAGACAATGGATCTATCTGGTCATCTTCGAACACCATCACAAACGTCTCTTTCCTCACTTTCAAATTCTCCAAAACTTCATTTTCTCATTCCAATACTTCCTGTACTAACAATTTTTGGTCCCGGATTTCAATCTATATCAACCCTTACATTTTTATGGTTCATTTTATCAATATTTTATATACGTAATACATCAAAATGGTGGCTTTTCATAATTTATTACATTTTTAATAGTATAGGCTTTATGTTTGCTTATATGAATATGTTGGGATCTGTCGGTTTAAAAGGCTATCCGGGAATAATATTCTCTATCGGTTTATTGGTGAATCTGATTATGCTTATAAGTTTGATTTTAGACAAAATTTCTCAACATATGTTTAGTGTTGTTGGGTGGGCAAGAATTTTAACATTCCCTTGTGTTTGGACGGGTAATTCTCTTGATTTATTTACTTATTTATAATTTTTTATCCTATTAAGAATTAGAATTATTCTTCTTATAACTATTAGGATAAATATTTGCACTGGTTAATTATTAATTCGGTTTATTTTTTCTATTTAAAAAAAAAACCTTAGGATTATGGACAATATTTCTTTACACCTGGGTTTTTGGTGATATAACAAATTATGCGTATGTATTTTTTATTTCGTATTTATATATATATATATATATTTATTTTTGAAAAATTCGATTATAAAAATTCTTATATTTGATTTGTATGTTAAATTTCAGTTTTTCTCTTCTTGGAACAGATGAAATTTTGCAATTCGCTTCATTTGCCGGTTTAGGTGGCATAAATTTTATCCTAGCTTGGGGTGGTCCTATAGGTTGTGACGTACTCACTAATTGGCTTCTAACCAATACAAAAAAATCATTAAATGGTCAAGATACTGGTCCGTTGATGGTCGATCAAGATTTGGAAGACCATAGCACTGACACAATTTTACCCATCAACAATAGTCATCGTAAACGTCATTTAATTAAATTTTCTATACCTCCAATTTTTACTTCCCTTTTTGTATATTTAATCGCGCTATTTTTAGTCATCACTTATGGTTCTATTAGACTTTCAACTGGATACGTACCATTTTATCAGCAAAATATTAATGATTTCGCTCCTTCCTCGTTAATAACGATGGGTTGTGTAATTCGTCAAAATTCTTCAACTAATTCCGATTATATTGAAACAACTCGTGAATTAGCTACAAACGGCAGCAAAATAGTGTTATGGTCAGAAGGCTCTGGAAATATAACTGATACTACCCAATTAAATGACCTTTTAATCTCACTCACAAATATTTCTCAAACTTATAATACATATGTAGGTGTTGCGTATATCGACTTTCGTCCTGAACTACCTCATTATAATAAATTAGCAGTTATTTCTCCATCAGGTGACATAATAATAGATTATGCAAAATCACATTTAGTTCCATTTCTAGAGAGTAGCGTATTTAAGCAAGGTGCAAATGTGTTGCAAACTAACATAACGAAAGAATTTGGTGTTATTGGTGCGGCAATTTGTTTTGATTATGATTTTCCATCATTAATTAAACAAGCTTCTAGTAAAGATGTGAATTTAATGTTGGATGCAAGTAATACTTGGGTTAAGTATTTATCTGAATTATTCTTGGATTGATTTTTATAGTTTATTTGTATTTTTCTAACAAGTTTTTTCATCATAAATTTTATTGATTTTTTTTTAAATTATAGGGTAAAATTTTTTCATCAAATTTCATTTATACTCAATCTATTTTTAAAAATAATTGATTTATCTTTTTCCTTAAAACTTTCACATACTATTGTATATAGGTCCCGTAGGAATTCTTCATGCTCGTATGAATGCTATCCGATCAATAGAAAATGGTTTCACTATGTTAAGATGTAACGCAAATGGAATATCCGGTGTTTGGGGACCATACGGTCAGCTTTATCATTATGTACCAACTACAATTACAAATACTAAATTTACCATATTTCAAGTACCATTGTATCCAAGGGTTAAAACTGTTTATGGTATATTTGGTGAAACTTTTGGATGGATGTGTGTTGCTGTGAGTGGTGCGATAATAATTGCTATGATAATAGAGTGGAAAGGAAGTGCGGAATGGAAAGCAATTATTTTGAAGTGGTTTTAACTGGCGAAAAAATAAATATATATTATATATGTATACATATCTAGATGTTTAAAAATTGAAAATCTAAAAAGTTAGTTCTTTGTATCATAAAACATATATAACTATTCTATATCTTAAAAAAAAAAAAAATTTTTTTTAAGTTATATGACAGTCAAACTAACGCTAAGAATTGGACCTATTTTTGATCTTGTATTAAATTTTTTTAGCATATATCATTAGCATAAATATTTTGGTTTTTTAGCATTTTAGGGAACAAGTATTTCCACACCTTTGTAAATTATATACAGTATTACGATGCGTGATCCAAATACTCCAGCTTGTAATATGTCACTTTATGTAATATGCGTATCAAAAATCGGGTGTGAAAATACCTGTTCCCTTATTTTATAGCATATTTTGTATATTTTAGAATTGTTTTATTATTATATACTGTATATATTTATAAATACAGTATAATTAAAAATTAAATAAATGGTTTTGTAATTAGATGCTATACTTCAAATAATAGCTTTAAAACTCAAATTTTTACTAATAGCAATCTTAAAGTTATTATTTAAATAAACTAAATTATATTTAAACTACACGTTATATTTAAACAACTACAGTCAAATCTCTTTATAGTCACACTTTTAAAATACAAAAAGGTATAATTATAAAGAAATATGCTAATTTTAAAAATCAAATTTATTATTGGGCTGGAGCGGAGGGAAACGGAGTGTAAGTCCTTTCTATGCTCTACTAATTTGGGTCGATGTCCGGCTCCCAC